AGTAGGCCTACCTTTTAGACTGGAAAAAATTTAGATGGGGTTGGTTCTTGCAAAACTTTTCTCCAGCTTTTTTTTCCACTAAAATTCTAGATTTGGTTTGTTGTTGTTTTTATGTGTCATTGAGTTGTCTGTGACCCATAGCGACCCTATGTACAACAGCTCTGAACCCTACCCTGTCTGGAGCCAGTCTCACTAATTCCAACACACCAACCCCAAATGCCCCAGTCACATATCAATCCAACTCATTCGAGGTCTTCCTCTCTTGTACTGTTCCTCCACCCCTACAAGCATCATGTCCTTCTCCAAGGACCAGTTTCTCCTGGTTCCGTGCCCAAAGTATGTGAGAAAGAGCTTCTAAATCCTAGCCTCCAAGTAGAAACTTAGTTTCACGCTCTCCAAGACAGACTTATTTACTTTTTTTTTTTTTTAACTTAGTATCCTATACTAAGGGAATATATTCAAACTCTTGTTGAGGTCATTTGAAATAACTAAATTATGGATTTAAAAAGTGCCAAAAAACCAAACAAGAAAAACCATGATCAAACATACAAAACTCAAAGGCCTCAAGTTGATGGCGGGCTCATAGTGACTCGCCATCAGGTTTCTCAGTCTATAAATCTTTACTGTAGACAGCCTATCTTTCTCCCATGGAGCAGCTGGTGGATTCAAGCCATGACCCTTTTAGGTAGCTGTGTATAATGCACCCGCAGTATATAATACAGCATGCCACAAGAGCATGAATTAATACATGAGTATTAAATGTACCAAAATGTGATTATATTGAAAAAATATCTCTACTGTTAGAAAAAAATACACAAAAATAAGCAAGGGAGCAGTGTTACGCACAGTGTTATGTACCTGTGTAAATGGACAGGCAAAATGTGCAAAAACAGACAACGAAAATGTTACCAACTGATGAATCAGGATAAAGGTTATATGGATTTTTTCTTTCTATACTATTCTTCTTACTGCAACTTTTCTGTAACCTTGGAAAAAGTAAACATCCTTGTAAAACTAATACATACCGTTAGAAATTAGGATAATGGCCACCCTTTGGGGGCAAGGTAGTATTAAGCAAGCATCGGGGGTAGATTCTGGCATGATAGCCTCTGGGTGATTCAAATAGCTTACACTTTAAAGAAAAGTTTGGAGGTTCAATTTCACCCAAATTGCTTTGGAAGAAAAAATGCCTAGAAATCTACTCCTTAAGTATCAGCCAGGGAAAACCATATGAAGTACAGCATTATTCTGATACAACACATGGAGGTGACATAAATTATAATCGATCCATGACAACTCATTTCTGCTACAATAATAGATTTTTGAGGTATGTTTGTAAAAACTCATTTGAGTTCTATTTTATATACTTTTCACTGTATGTATTATGTTTTGAAATTAATAGTAATGTGTATGTGTCGTTTACCTTTCAATATGGCTTTCCTCATCACTGAACTTGACTGCCATGTGAATAGACAGGAACATGTAAATAAGGTGTTAGCCTATACACAAGGGGATTGGGTGTTACAACATCCCACAAAGGGATTGGCTAGTCTCACCAATAAACAGAGACTCCAGCAGCAGATTAGGCCTTCCCCACCAATGAATAAGAATAAGCAAGAGAATGTAGGATGCTCTTCAGGACCAAACATGCTGGCTCCAGCTATACCTCCATAGCAGCAGACATAGCCAAAGCAGAAGACCTGACGTCTGGTGGATCTGACTGCTACCCACCCCCCTCACAGGCAGAACCAGAGCTAAACTAAGAATCTTTGCCCAAGTTTGTTGGAGAATTTTGGAGGTCGGGGGAGCCAATATTGGCAAGAATGATGGCAATACTGGCAGGAATGAGAATTTATTACACTGGTCTAAAGCTGTAAGGCTCAAGGCTGAGGTGCCTGCGTGAACATTTCAGAACCTGTCCTGACTATATTCTGCTACTAATCTGGATTATAACCTTTGACTTTCCCGATACGGTTGTGTGTGGTCTGTGAGCTGTCACAATGGATTATGGATCCAGCAAAGCCCTAAGATTGGTGCTGAAATGAGTAGAAGGAAGTATGGGAGAGTGGAGGACACATCTAACTTCACTGAAATTGCTTTTGTGTTATTAATGCTGTTGATGGAGACAGTTTTCCTTTGTGCAGTTGGTAAAGGTCAGAAAGGGCTGTTCTCCCATGGCCCTTGCTCTTATTACAGTGTGTTAAAGTGGTCCTGATCCTTAGTAAAGGGCAACTATCCTATGTGCTGTAAATTCTAACCTCAATGACATTAATGAGGAAGCTTTGGTGTCCTAATCTTTAGGGAGTTGCAACATAACCCAAGGCCAAGCCTCTCTGCTGGTTCAAATCCACCAGATACTCTGTAGGAGAAAGATAGGCAATCTACTCCCATATGATTTACAGCCTTGATAAACCTGCTGAAAGGTCAATTATGAGTTCATTTCATCTACATTACAATGAGTTTTTAGTCTGACGACATTAACAAGGTAAGATCAGAAGTGGAACTGTAAAGATTTAGCACCTTTATCTGTTTAAGGAGGTCTCACAGGTGTAGCCTGCACAGTACAATGTCCAGACCCTCAGACAAAAAGCGTATTTAAATTATATATACGTTATCTAATTGAAGGCAGAGAAATTTTTTTCTTATTTTAATTTCTTTATTTTTCATTTCAATGAACATCTACAGAGATTTTGGAATTCCATTCATTCATTGTTGCATCCCCTCTCCCCACCCCCGGCATCCCCCACCCGTTTGCTCCTCTCCTTCAAACGCAAAAGAAAAACTCCCTCATTGGTACACAATCCCCCCCACACATCCCCCAACCCCCAAATATAATCCACTCTGCAATCCTCATTCCGTACTCTTACGATAAACATAATGCCCTAAAATATAAAATATTCTCTCCCTCAAAGACTTCAATGCCGTAAATATATTTCATCCAGTTTTTCTCAGTCTTAGCCCCATCCTGATGTCAGCCTCATTCTACAACAATGGCACCATATAGCCTTTGTCCCTTTGTGACTGAGATACCTCACTCAGCATAATGTTCTCCAGGGACACCCATTTTGAATAATATTGCATGAGTTCCTTGTTTTTCAATGCAGCATAATATTCCATTATGCGAATATACCACAGCTTCTCTACCCATTCGTTTGTTGATGGGCATTTGGGTTGTTTCCAACTCCTTGCTATTGTAAACAAAGCCGCAATAAACATGGGTATGCATATATCGACTTGGGTGCCATTTATGGTCTCTTTAGGGTATATTCCCAGTAGTGGAATTGCTGGGTCAAACGATATCTCTATTTGCAACTTTTTGAGAAAGCCCCACATCACTTTCCACAGTGGTTGCACCATTTTACACTCCCACCAACAGTGAATAAGGGTTCCAGTCTCTCCACAACCTTGCCAGCATTTGTTACTTGCTGTTCTGTTAAATTTTGCTAGTCTTACTGGAGTGAGATGATATCTCATAGTTGTCTTGATTTGCATCTCTCTCAGAGCTAGGGATTTTGAACATTTCTTCATGTGCTTGTTTGGCCAGAAGGCAGAGAACTTTTCAAGCAAAAAATGTTCTTTTAGTTATGTTGTTGTTGTTGTGTACTGGTGAGTTGAACCAACTCATAGTTGACCCTCCAGTGGGTTTTCAGAGGCTGTAAACTGCCAAGGAGGTATCTGCTCATCTTTCTCCCTGGGAACACATGGTGGATTCAAACTACATGCCTTTGGGTTGGCAGTTTAACTCCTTAACACTAATCTACAAGAGCTCCCTGAAAGACTCTGGAATGTAAAACAGGTAAATCAGATGTATTATTAATACACTGAAAAAGGAAATTCCTTAGTTATTTTAATTAAGCTTAAAGTATAGAACATATATAGATGAATATATATTCTATATTTACCATATAAATCACATATGTGAATACATCACTTATGGGGGAAATTCACTATTTTAGGGCCACTGCAAAAAGTCTAATTACAAAATTATAACCTAACTTCCTTCAAAATATTTCAGTTGACTAGAATGAGGCATTCAATACGCCAAAAAAAAAAAATAAAGAAGGATATTGGTTTTGCAAAATATACACAAATTAACACTCTAGAACTCAATTATTTTAATATATATGCCATCCTTGAAAAACTTTTTCTGTTGCAAATACAATTCCTTTACATTTTGAATCTCTTTAAAAATAGCTTTTACTTACAGATAAAGAAAAAACAGTATGTTTCTCTTCTGTTCAATATGTAAAACAATACCATTAATGGATGCTTCTTTCTCAAAATAACACTCCTGGTTTGCTCAATTCACAAAACATTTTGTCTCTAAATTGCTTATTTGGAAAAAATTCTTCTACTATTTAGTTGTTATCATTAAGAAAGATGACAAATAACCATGTTAAATAGTCCCAACCTAAATCTACTCTCACCCATTACCCTAGCAACAAAATATACCTCTTTGGAAAAAGTGACTAAAAGACTGAACAGAAAACAATTTATTCATTTTTTCTTCTGGTATTGCATCTTAGACGTCTTCATAATCAGTAAATTGTTGCCCATTAACCAAACACTTACAAAAAAAAATTGCAATCAAACAAAGAAGAAAAAAAAATCAAGAATAAAAAAAACAAAAAGCACTACCCCTCAAAAAAATACTGATGCATACTTAAAATCCTCTCATTATTTTCACATCTAAAATTTATCTAATTAAAATAGCATCTTTGCATAACAAAGCTTGGTAAATAGAGTCTTCTAAATGACTAGACTCCAATCTGCAAAATTAGAAAAAAAATACAAATTTTCAATTTATATAATAAAGATAGCAAGATTATTTTTAAATTCAGTATTGTCAATCCTTCATCAGTTCTCCCGAAATAGGAAATGAAAACTAGATAATAATTTAAAATTAAAGAAAAACAAACACATTTTAGTGATCATATACTGAGATAGGAAACAGCTTATGTCTTTCGTATTACTTTTAAAGACATTTCTAGAAGTCTTACCATGAGCTGTGTAGTTTGTACAGTTAACTGGTTCTTGCGTGGCATCATTTATTTTTGGATCTTTACAAATGTATGTAAGAAAAGTTAAGGAAATGAGGATTACATTACAACACAAAACAATCTTAAATAGCTCATAGTGGTCCCCCAAAATCTGAATGCTAACTTACAACAGAAAAGGCATATTAACTTAAGGAATAATGGTGACACAGTAGTTAAGTGACCATCTAACCTGTGAGCAAAAGAAATCAACCAGCTGCAGCAACAGGAGAAAAGACCTTATCATTTGGTCTTGTAATAATTACAGCATTGGAAGCCTTATAAGGTATTATTTCCTATCGTACAGAGTTGCTATGAGCTGAAATTCATACAGGCAGTTTTGCCAAGAAATTCAACTAACAGGTCAGTGATTTAGTTAAAGCATAAGAAATTAGATCTATTCAACAAGTTGGAATTACTGTGAAAAACTCATGGCGAACTGTTCACAAAACACGTTAAAATATTGAGATCGTCTTCTTCATTCAGCATCCTTCAATCTTACACCTGTTAATAGTTTTTCTAGTCCAGTATTGGTGTAAAAAGTTTTCAGTTTTGTATAAAATGAGCTATTTTACTTTAACTCCCATTGCATTTCTTTACTGTGCGACTATACTCTGATCCACTTAACCACTTCCGCTTCCAGGTTGAACCCAGGCAATACTATATGCCAGGAACTAGTCAATAAGCTTCATCTGTACTAACTCATTTAAAATCGTAACAGAAATTACCAACTCTTATAGAAAACGGAGTCTAAAAAAATTATCCACGGTAACAAAGTAAAGCAGGGCCTCATCTCCTGGAAGTCTGACATCTCATCGAGTTTGAAAATTATCAGAGGCAAATAGACGTGGCTTAGTGGTAAGGAGTTGCTCTGAAAACACAAAGGCAAACGATTCGAAAACACCAGCTGTTCTTCCGGAGAAAGATATGCAATCTCATCCCCAGCCTCTGAAAACCGGTTGGAAGGTCAGCTATGAATCAATTCTGACCCAACAGAACATAACAACAAAAAACAGATGTAAAGTTAAAGAATTAACAGGGGGCATACATTGAATATACTGACATTAATTCATTCTTTTTCTTTCCCTAAATTGTCAATCTTTTGTTGAGTCGATCCTACGTCTTAACAATGTATGTATTAGCAATTCCTGAAACTTTCAAGTGTTTGCTGAACAAAAAATGCCCACGGATGAAGACATGTTGGGAAGAGCAGAGCTGTTGCTGTCAGGTATAGCTGAGTAGAACAGCGACCCTAAGAACAAGAGATGCTATCCTCATCATCCTGACCTGTTCCTGCAGTCAGTGTCAATCGGCTACAACAGAGAGACCTAGGGAGCAGTGAAATACTGATAAACCGCACAGGCTGACTTCAGCCCCTCTCATCACCACTTCCAGCCTCCTGGGGCTCCACAGTCTTTACAGGCCACCAAGGGTCACCGTTCCCTGCAATACAGCCGCGACCCTCTCTTAATCCCAAATCTATCTCACCCAGAACCCTCAACTCCACCGAGATGCTCCTTACAGAGGATATTGTCCCACTTTGAGGTCCTCGCATTTGAGTGTTTCTTCGCCCCCAGGGGAGGCGATGGCAGCAGCCCCCCAAGATCCTGTAGTGGCGGAGACGAACCACACCACACCCAGGAGCTGGGCAGCTAAAGCTTCTGGAGCGGCAGGTGCAGGAGGCCAGAGGGCCGCCATGCTAGAAATCGGTGTGCCCCCACGACTTCCGGTTCCGCTTTCGGCCAGGAGGTGGGCGGGACGAGGGAGGAGGAAGAACGGTTCTTAAAGGGACCTGTTCCGCCACCTCGCTGGTTGCAGTCCACATCTGCGAGTAGTATCTCCTAGAAAGGCTTTTAAGAAAAGGATAATCACGTTTCCAACCTGGCCAGTGGTAGAGGCGTGGGGAGGTGGAGTTTTCTCTATGATCCCTTAGGAGGAGCTTAAAGAGAGGTTTGATGTTGATTGCCAGAAGGGAAAAAAACTCTCAGATCATCAACTACCTACACCCTCCCCTCAGTGCTGAGTTAACCAGCCTGAGGCTTTTTCTGACTTCCAGGAGGTGCAGGCCGCAGCCCCCGTTCTCATATATGCTTTACTTACATCATCTTCCTTAGTGGTTCTAGGGTTTGGATATACTGGAAAAGAATCAGGCTTGAAGACGCTGCAGCTGTCATCAGCAAGTCCACTGGTGGAAAGTTTTAAAGGTCAACCTTTTGGTTAGCAGCCTAGTTTGGAAACACTGTATGACTGGGGCGCCTTCTAGGTTCAAGGAGACCGTATATCACAATTAACAAAGTGCAGCATCTAGACTGCAGAACCTGAATCTTGGTACTAGCAGGCCACTACAAGCCCAGAACAGACCTTTATAGCTTTGGAAAATTCTATGGAGTGATTGTTTGCACTATTGCAAGGATTAAGTCCACCCACTAAATGGTAATGATTTTGCCCATGTTTGGTGTTAACTTGGAGGATTGGAAGGTTGGTAGAACAGTCTTTAGCAACTCTGTATCACAAACAAAAATATTACAACTCTTTAGTAGTAGACATTTATGAAGGGGAAAATGTACAGTAAGAGACTGAATTTTTTTCCCCCTCGTTATCTTCTTTCCAAATTCAGTATTCTAAAATTGTGTGGTGGGAATATCTTTTATGTTGGGTGGGGGGAGGAATCTCTGTTTTTAAAGTCTCCAGGCCTTTGCACATATCTTTATAATTTTTTACTTTGTTTTCTTGACATATCCTTTGAAATCTTCTCATAAGTTCTTTTTACGTCATTATTTTTTACATTTCATAAACAAGTTTAAGTAATAAAAAAGTTTAAAATTTACAGACATGCTTATTTCAGGCTGTGGCAGGAAATCTGGAAGACAACTACCTGACCAACTGGAAGAGATTTGTATTAGTTCTCATTCCTAAAAAAGGTGATTCAACAGAATGTGGAGATTATTGAGCAATATCATCAATATTACATACAAGCAAAATCTTACTGAGGATTATCTAAAATAGCTAAAACAAGTACATGGACAGAGAACTACTAGAGATTCAAGCTGAATTTAGAAGAGGCTATTGCACCAAGGATATCCTTTCTGACGGCAGATGGGCCTTGGCTGAAAACCAGGAGTATGTCTGTCTGTGTTTATTGACTGTGCAAAGGCATTCGATTTTGTGGTCCACAACAAATTATGGCTAACATTGAGAAGAAGAGGAGTCCCAAAGCACATAATGGAGCTAACAGAAAGCTTAGACCTAGACCAAGAGGTCTGTGAACAGAGCAAGGAAACACTGCATGGTTTAAAAACAAGAAAGGTTTGTATTAGGGCTATATCTTTTCTTCACACCTATTAAATCTGTATACTGAGAAAATCATTCAAGAAGCAAGACTTTATGAAGAAGTATATGGCATCAGATTTGGAGGAAGGCTCATCAACAACTTGTATTATGCAAATGACACATTCTTGCTTGCTAATCGTAAACTTAAGCGATTGCTGCAGAAGATCAAAGACTACAGCCTCTGTGGTGTGGTGGGTTACCATGGACTGCTAAGAGAACAAACAGATTCATCCTGGAGAGGGTGAAATCAGGCTGCTTTGGGGCATGTTGCAAGGAGTGACCAGTCCTTGGAGAGAGAAATCATGATTGAGAGGGTAGAGGGACAGTGCAAGAGAGGAAAACCCTAGATGAGATGGATTGACTCAGTGACTGGGGTAATGAGGGTAGACGTGTCAGAGACAAAAAGGTTGGCACAGTATAGAGCAGGTTTCAAAGCTGTTGCACATACGGTCACTATGAGTTACAGGAGACTTGACGGCACATCGCAACAGCAAGACTAGTCATTAATTTGATCTCAAGTCTGCCTAGGCTGCAAACATGCTGATGAGCTTACATCATCAACAGCGAAGTGAACCATCTCTTCTTCATGCAAATAGGGTGTGTTAGTCTATCCACAAGAAGATTTGCTAGTCTTACCATTAAATTAAGCTGATTCAGCTGTAGAAAGCAGGAATCTCACCACCTGGGAGGATGAAGCAGCAGAGACTGCAGTGCATGCCCTTTGGGACCAGAGGTTCCTACACCAGAGATTGTATTTTGCTGTTAACGGAAAAGCCAAAGCAAAAGGAAGGAATCAGGAAATTAAGAGCTAAACAGAAGATATCAAAGGGCAGCTCAGGAAGACAAAGAAAAGTATTAAATATAAAGTAATGTACAAAGAGCTGGAGATGGAAAACCAAAAGGGTTGAACTCAGCCAGCATTTCTTAGCTAAAGAGTAGAAAACCAAATTCAAGCCTTGAGTTGCAATACTTAAGGATGCTATGTGCAGAATAGTGAATGATTCAGGAAGAATTAAAAGAAGATGGAAGGAGTACATGGATTTACTGTACCAAAAAACGGCTGACACAGAAGAATTCATTAAATAGTATGTGATCAAGAAGCAATAGTGATGAAGGAGGACATTCAGGCTGCTCTGAAGGACTTGGCATAGAACAAGGCCCCAGGAGTTGATGGCATACCAAATGACATATATTAACAGATAGATGCTGCCCTAGACATGCTCACCAAGTTGTGCCAAGAAACATGGAGGACAACAACCTGGCCAAATAACTGGAAGAGATCCATACATGTTCCCATTCCAAAAAAAAGGTGACCTGACAGAATATGGAAATTATTGAACAATATCATTTGTATCACATGCAAGCAAAATCCTGCTGAAGAGTATCCAAAAATGACTGGAACAATACATCGTCAGAGAACTACCAGAAATACAGGCTGGGTTTTGTAGAGGCTGCAGCACTGGATATATTATCACTAATGTCAGATGATCTTGACTGAAAGCAAAGAGGACCAGAAGAATGTCTATTTATGTTTCATTGACTATGGAAAGGTATTTGAATGTGTGGCTAACCTTGAGAAGAATAGGAATCCCAAAATACTTGATTGTGTTCATGTGAAACCTACATTTGGACCAGAAGCAGTCATCAGAAGAGATCAAGGTAACATGGCTTGGTTCAAGATCAGGAGTGTGTCAGGGATGCATCCTGTTTATATTCAGAACAGATCATCTGGGAGGCTGGACTTTATGAGGAGGAATGTGGCATTAGGATTGGAGAAAGACACACCAACAACTTGCGTTATGCAGATGACACAGCCTTGCTTGCAGAAATGTTTGCTGCAGAAGGTCAAGGAGTACAGTCTTCACTATGGATTGAAGCTCAATATCAAGAAGACTAAAATCCTCACCTGTGGGACAATTGGCAGCATAACAATAGATGGAAAAGAGATTGATGTTAGCAATTTCAGCTTGCTTGGTCCCCCAATCAACACTCCTGGCACTGATAGTCAAGAAATCAAAGGACATAATGCTCTGGGGAAGGCTGCTGTCAGGGACTTCGCAAAAGTGCTGAAGAGCAACGATATCAATCTGGAGACTAAGTTATACTTGATTCTGGCCATGGTCTTCGCAATTACTTGCAATACATCAGAGAGCTGGACAATGACCAAAAATAATAGAAGAATTGAAGTTTTTACATTGTGGTGCTGTAGAAGAGTATTAAAACATACCATGGACTGCCAAGAAAACAAACAGGTTTATCCTGGAGGCTGCTCCTCGGAGGCAAGGATTTTGAAGCCCCGTCTCACCTATGCATGTGGCCAAGAGAGACCAGTCCCTGGAGAAGTACATCACGCTTGGAAATGTAGAGGGACACACAGGAGAGGAAGACCTTAGATTAGATGGATTGACATAGCAACTGGGGTGATGGAGATAGGTATGTCAGACACAGCAAGGAGACTGGCTCAGGATAGAGCAGAGTTCAGAGCTAACATGAGGTCACTATGAGTCATAGGTAACTCAGTTGTACGTAACAACAACAACAAGAAGATCTTTGGACTAAGGGATCACTGAAAGGTTTATAGTTTGCTGTTAACTGAGCAGCTCTTTGGACTGAGGAATTATATCTACCTGTTAATTTCAATTGTTGTTTTGGTGGTGGTTAGGGACCATCAAGTCCAGTACAACTCATAGTGACTCTGTGAATAACTTAAATTATGTTGTTTGTTGTTATGTGTCGTCAAGTCACCTGCGACTCATAGCGACCCTAAACAACAGCCCTAAACTCTGCTCTGTCCCGTGCTAATCTCACCCACCCCAATTATCCCAGACACTGAATCAATCCTCATAGAGGGTCTTCCCCTCCTAAGTTGTTCCTCCACACTCCCAAGCATGACATCCTTCTCCAAGGACTGGTGCCTCCTTGCAACATGTCCCAAATATGTCAGACAAAGCCTCAGTATCCTTGCCTCCAAGGAGCAGCCTGATTTAACCCTCTCCAGGATGAACCTGTTCATTTCCTTAGCAGTCCATGATACATTCAATACTCTTCTCCAGCACCACAGCTCAAAGGCATCAGTTCTCCTTCTCTCATCCCTAGTCATTGTCCAGGTCTCTGATGCATAGCAAGTGATCGCAAAGACCATGGCCTGTATCAGGTGCACCTTCGTCTCCAGAGTGACATCATTGCTCTTCATTACTCTGGGGAGGTCCCTAACAGCAGACTTTCCCATCGCAATGCGCCTTTTAATTTCTTGGCTGCTGGTGCCAAGAGTATTGACTGTGGATCCAAGCAAACTAAAGCTGTGAACAATCTCAATCTCTTCACCATCCATTCTGATGCTGCCAATTGACCCAGTGGTGAGAATCTTT